GGGGGGGGGTGTAATATGGCTAAAGCTAATCTGACCTGTGGCTAAAATACGGATTAGAGTCTCTCCGTCTGTTCAGGCTGCTGACCTTCAGGACTCTCCCAGGCCACCACAGTCAAGACCCGAACAGACGCAGTGTTTTCCGAGACGGCTGCAGTGATACATGAGACTTTACTGGACCCTGTGTGTATGGACCTAGCGGTGAGATACCCTGTCTACTTCCTGTCCTGCAGCTGACGGCCAGGAAATGCCACCACCACCCGAAACCTAACCCGGCAGGCAAAGGGTGCCCCGACCTGCCATGAGCTCCGTGATTCTCTCAGCAGCTGGGGTCTTATGCAGGTAGTTTCCTCACAGTGCTCCGTGTGCGGGCGTGACGTGTGCTAGGCTAACTGTTCATATGTAGATCCATGCAATTCCACAACAGACCACGGGGTGGCACTCCACTCACTGCCATCCTGCAGGGTTGCCAGCAGAATATCCAGGTGGGGCGTCAGCTCCTCCACCACTAGCTCGGTGCTGACGCTGATGGCCTCCACCGCCTCAGTGAAAGACCCTGGCAAGACCAGTCGGTGGCACTATAATCAGTGGGGGCTGATGCATTATGGGAAATGCAGGTGTGACACTGCCTTGAAGCTTAGCTTAGAGATACACTCCCACCTGTGCCCATACAAGAACATACCTACCATCTGATCTTCCCATGGGATCCCCCCACAGAAGCAAACTCACCCATGGCCTTGGCCCCCGTGACCTCCAAAGCCTGAATCCCCTCCTGAGCTCTCTCTGCGCTCCCTGTTCTCCTGCTCTCAGGGTCTGGCTCACAGTGTGGGCAGCATGGTCGATGCTCAGCTCCTTTGGAAAAGAACACCCTCCTCACCTGACCTCCCTCTGCACGCTCCTCCCACTCTCTCTGTCTCACTCTCCCTCCCACTCTCTCTCTCTCCCTAACCCTCCTCACCTGTCCTCCCTCTGCATGCTCCTCCCACTCTCTCGTCTCACTCTCTGTCCTACTCTCTCTCTCTCTTTCCCTCTCCCTCCCTCTCTCTCTCTCCCTAACCCTACACTGATGCCGTCTTAACTACAAATCTCGGTAGAGGTCCAGATGATCCTATCACCCAATCTGAGACCCAGGCTACAGCTGTCCAAATAACCAACGTCGCTGGCATTTCTGTTTCCTCCGTAGATCCAGTTTAATCACAGAGAGTTTTCGTTTCATGACAGTAAATTCAGACAATAGGCTGGTACTGACAAGTTCATGGTCCTATGTCCAGAACGAACCCTTGGAGAGGTACAGATTGTGACAGGAGTAAAGAGCATGTACGTCTTAAAACAGCTTTATTCAGCACAGTTTCTCATAGACAACCTTCTGAAATATCCTCCCAGATTACAGCATTGAGGAAAAGCAACATTTCAGTGCATTATTCTCTAACCCCACCTCGCATCACTGGTTAATTTACGAATCATTCTGCTGGCCTCTCAAGTCTGTGATAAGACAGCTGAGTCAACAATGTTTTTAATGTTCTGAAATATCCCTGCTTAAAAATCACATGGTCCTTAACCTAACTAACTGGCCCTGCACTCATGTGAGTTAAACACTAGATTAAGAGGTTACGCAGAACCACACAGGACCGGGCAGGTTTTTTCACAACCAGAAATATAATTTACAATCAGCATTAGATTTTTTTTAAGAAACATTACATCCATGGTCAGAAACATATTTAGCTGTAACCCAGTTAGAGCCAGTTTAATCATCATCAGTCTCGTGGGTGTTTCCTGCTGACTATAACATTAGATACCTGAAGATATTTTGCGAGATGAAGGGTTTAAACTAGAGACATTGAGTGTGAGGATTCAGAATAAGCCGGCATCACAGATGCATGTTTTAATGCATGAAGATGCCAGCCACTAAGGCAACACCACCACCTGAGTGTTGCTAATAGGACACGGACCTGGTCACATCACTGACAGAAACCACAGCGCATCATTTTGGGGAGTAAAAAAATAACACAGCAGTCTCCAAGCTCCAGCAAAACCAGCCATTAAAAGAACAAACATGACATTACAAAAAGGCAAGTATCTGAATCCAAACAGCTTGGCTAGAAACCACTTGTCATTTATCTTCTGAAAAACGGCTGAAAAATAAAACGAAAAACATTTTTTTTAAAAAGTGTCCGTGCCACCAGGAAGGACAAGGAGTTCGTGGTCCAGGGTGCACTGGTTAGGGCTCACTCGCTAGGGCGCACTTGCTAGTGCACACTGGTTAGGGCACACTCGCTAGGGCACACTTGTTAGTGCACACTCGCTAGGGCGCACTTGCTAGTGCACACTGGTTAGGGCACACTCGCTAGGGCGCACTTGCTAGTGCACACTGGTTAGGGCACACTTGCTAGAGCGCACTTGCTAGTGCACACTGGTTAGGGCACACTCGCTAGGCCACACCAGCCGTTCCAGGTTCCAGACCACTGGAGATGGTCTCGTAACCTACAGAGACCAGAGTTAAAACACTGCTCTCGATCTCCGGCTGAGCCTCGGGAACCGCCTCCGGCTCTTTGGACCGCTTCCGGTTCCCTGTCTTGGCTTTCGTCTTTTTGTCCCCCTGACTCTCCTCCTTCTTGACCTTGGCACATCTGGTCTTGGCCTTGACGTCGCTCTTGGTCCTGGCTCTTCGCTTCCTCACCCTGGTGTCCCCACCCTGGTTCTCCTTAGGATCCACCTCCCCCGAGAGGATCCGGATCTGCTTGTCGATGACACGGTCAATCATCTCAAAGGCCACGTCAATCATGCCGGCCCCAAAGCCGTGAGTCGCGTTGTTAAACGTCCTGCTGTTCACCGGGTCATGGAATGACTTCCTCATTTCCTCGAGATAGTTCCTAAATGAAAAAAAGAGAGAGAACGGTTGATGAACTCCATTCTGTTTAACTACAGCACGCAAGAACTTCAAGAGGCATGAAAAGCTACTCGATTGGTATCTTGACGGTTTTACGTCTCGTAAATCTCATACAGAACAAAGAAAATGGCAACACACCTTGTCTCGATGATTTTGGACCAGTGTTGCACCTGATTGGTCTCGGGAAGTAGCTGCTTTGCCACATTGTCATAATCCATGTATTGGGAAGCAAACTCCTTCACATCCTTGCAAAGGGCAGCCGTGTCACCTGGAAATGCAAGGTCACACTCCATCATTACATGAGTGATGTAGAAGACAAGATGGGCAAATTGTGTTTTCTCCTATGAGCATGAATCTATATTCTGGCGACATTTCCCATCATATGAAGCTGTCGATTCTCTGGGTGGCCGAGCTGAAGGGAGCCTACCTTCCGTCAGTTTGGAGAAGGAGCTGGACACGGCAGTGGTGGTGCTGGGCGACAGCCCGAACGAGCTGAGCGCCTCCAGCAGCGCCTTCCTGCTGGCCGGCCCGCGGCTGACGCGCGTGTAGGCCGCCAGCGAGCGCAGCGACATCTTCTCGGGCGCCTCCAGCCGCCTCTTCACCTCCTCGTAGTGGATCTGGTACTTTAGCGCCTTGGAGCTCTTCATGTTGGGGTCCAGAAGCGACGCCACCTGAGCAAAGGGCATCTTCAGGAGGGGGCCAGTCCCGTCGGCGCTCACCACAGTCTGCTCCACAGCCTGCCCGTTGGACACCGCCTCCACCTGTGCCTGGCTCACCCCAGCGACGAGCGCTTGGCCCAGCCCTTCGACTGTCGCCTGGCCCAGGGCCAGCACTGTCGCCTGGCCCAGTCCCTCACTCTGGGCTTTATGCAGAACTTCCACGATCTCGACCAGCGGCGCCTCCAGGGCCACCTCCACCATCTGCACCTCGTGCAGGCCATCGCTCTCCTTGCTGGGGTCACCCTCCATCCCTCCGTCTTCCTGGTCAGTGATGCTGCTGGTCAGCTTTTATTCTCTATTCCTCTGAAGACATCTTGACATTTTCTCCCCTTAAGAGTTAGGACTTTGACTTAAAAGCCTCTCTCCGTTTTTAACTGTTGTCGTTCTACATTGTTCAAGAAAAAAAAAAAAAACCAGCAAAAACAAACATAAGCAAGTATCTTAACAGCAAAAATAACTGGCTAGCCAATGAGGTTAAGCATTCTTTTGGCCCATCTTGGAGAGGGTAGGGTGAGGAGACAGGAAATGGCTGGCCCTCCCTATTTGCACCATATTTTTATTGCACAGTTACCATTTCACTTCCTGCATTGCACTCTCTGCTTTTTATTGCAATGCGCTTTGTCCTGCATTTTGCTGTTGTTGCCCCCCCCCCAACTGTTTTAATTTCATTGTGTTCCTCCCAACAAATGACAATAACAACTTAAGTCTTGTTCCTCAGTACCCAGTGTGCCCCACCTCCCTCATCTTGTTTACCAGCTCTGAATAATTGTCCTAACAGAACTGAAGAAAGTGCCTATTGTTGTTGACTAGGCGGAGTTGGGCTCCTAAGTGTTTCTTTGTGGTTATTATTGGGGTGTCTTTTTGACCAACCTGAGTGACAGCTTGCCTGTAACCCTGCATATAAATGTATTTATTTATTGCACATTTCGCTTCATTGCCAAACTTCTGTTCCAATTTACACAATCGTCCTGAAAAATCAGGTGGATATCTGTATATTTATGTCTGTCTTGCCATGTGACATGTATATATTATATTTATATGGCTTAGCATTTATATTCTGTTTATATATGGACATCCTTAGGAGATATAATGTTAACATACAACTGCTTGTGTAAAGCAAGCATATTACTGGTCTTACAGTCATTAACAATTCTGTACTATTATTGTCGTTTGCGCAGTATCTTGCAGCCCGGTTAGGTCTAGCTCCGGCTGCAGTAGTCGGCCAGACATCATTAAACCACGGCGGACGTCCTGCAGCGGGCCGTGAACCCCATCGGACCACGTGGTTATTAGCAGGCGGTTAGTTGGCCGCCATCTCGGCAGCCGATCTCTCCAACGCATTCCATCCACACGGTAGCCGGTGGGCAGACCTGCGCCTGGGACCTTCCTGGTGATGTACCCTGGGTCCATTATGCCAGTTGCAATTCAGAGAAGGAGTCATGTATCAGCCAAGTGGGCTGGAGAACATAAAGGCGCTATATCCGCCCTGTAAGGCAGTCCCTGCTACCGGTGTACTGCATGACTAAGCAGTCTGGTGTATAAAACAGTTTACACAGAGGAATATAAATAATACATGTATATAACTGTCAACAAAAAGTTCCGTTAATTGAATCTCTCTCTCCCCCCTCCCAACCCGAGTAACTGATCCTAGACCAGTGCGTGGGTGAACAAAGTGCAATTTCCATCTTTCGCCGTGTTTTTGTCAGGAAGCTCGGCGCTGCGCTACTCCCGCTCGACGTGGCAAATGTGTTTAAAACGCAGCTAATGGCACAGCCGCAGCAGCCCTGCGGAGTACTTCCATGGACTCGGATCCGACGGGAAGTTTGCTACAAGCTGACGGTTTTCGTACTTACCCCGGCTACTGCTCGCTTTTTAGCTGTGTCGCACTGATCCTGGAACAGTATATTCGGAAACGAGGAACAATTCTCTTCTTCAGTGGTGCTTTAATGTCTGAAATTTCGTTCTATGTGCGCAGCCGCCGCAGACCCGGAATCTGCTGCTTATTGGTGCCTTTGCGTGTCAATTATTACAGCTCGCTCTTTCCATTGGACGCTTCAGATATCTCTCGCACTTTGGTAGCGAATCATGAGCAGAGGCCTGCCCGGTTAGCCACAAAGTACCCCATAGGACGGTTTCCTATTATGCTAAAGGTTTTGTAAATGTCCTAGGTTTTTAACCTGTTCGGGGGGTTCTTGGGTTTAGATGTACTGTTGTTGAGCCCAAGATAGTCCCTGATTGTTAAATGAATAATATAACCTAGATTAATTTTGCAGAAATCGGGAGACGTACTTACCATGTTCAGTAAATGTGATCACTTTCTCCATCTGTGTTTAACAGTGCAATTAGACTTAAGCAGCATAAATCCTTCTGAGAACTGATACGTGACGTCGGCCACAATAAAGCCATTGGTTGAGAGGTCTGTCTGGCTGACTACATGTAGTCTATTAAAACTAGACTGCAGTGGGATCATAGGGGTTGACCAGCCAGACTACCATTTCTGCACTGTTGGTTTGCGACCAAACTGTGGATCTGGGGACCATTTATAGTGGATCACTCAGTGTATGGTTAAAAATGTTTTATCATCGTGTTTTATTTGTTTTATCTTTTTAACTGGGTTGTGACTTAATTCCCAAAAGGAAAATCTAGGTCATGGGGCCAAACCAGCTCAAAATTACTGATTTAGACATTCTTATCTGTGTTGTCTCATAACACATGTAATAAAATGTACACAGATTTGAAGCCTGAACTGGCCCTCTGGCATACCAAGCATTTTCCTAGTGAGCAGGCGGTTTTGTGGCCGGCAAAACTTATCTGTTGTGGGGATCCCCTCTCCCCAATCTGCAAAATTAATCGCAGGTATGTAAGTATATGTGATGGCCCTTTCTGGGCCAATGTCCAGGATCTATTTTTAATCCCAGTACAGCCCTGGGTAGTATTTAAGTAAGTAAGTAAATTAATAAATAATCAGACAAACAAATACATTTCCTCCGGGATTAATAAAGTATTTATGTATGGATGGATGTATTTATCTATCTGTTATTGGTAATTGACAAACAAAATGGCTGTTTGTGTATCTTTTAAATGAAGTTTCTGAAAATAAATACACACTTGGATTAAGCTTGATATGATGCTGTGATGCTTTACTTGTTTTGTAATGATTCCGAGCCCAACTTAAACATAAATAATAAGATGTTTTCTCCTGTGTATGCAGACACTAGGTATCACTGTGTGTTAAAATGTCATAATAAATCCAGTCTCTAAAATACAGGGTTAACTGTGTTCACTTGTTATATGGACCCTCTGATCACAGGCACAGGCATTTTTGAGATTTTGCGATAATTATTTTTTAGGATATTTTAATTAATTTAATTTGGTGTTTGAATCATGGACACCAGCCCCTAACCTTCTGAGCTACCATGCAGTAAACACAACCCCTAACATGTGTACTGTACAGGCAAGCCTCTTAGGAGTGTCCTGGGGCATCTAGCACGTCACAAATTATGCATTTATTTGTTGGAAGCCAAGTAGCCTGCATTCACATTGAAGCAAAATCCAAGACGTATTATACTTTTAAAATATATTGTTATGCTTTAATCATAATTATTACACTAAGTTATATCGTCTTGGGCTTGTGTAGCATACAATAAAAATCAGTAATTTGCAAAAGTTCATATTATAAAGTATTAAAGTATATGTAGAAAATGTGTTTTCATGCGTGCATGTTGCTGTTATAGATCAAAGGGGGCGGGGCAGAACGCGTCGGTGTAAAAAAAAAAAAGAAAAGTTTTTTTTTTCAAAATTGAAGAAAGTGTTTTGATCACGAGACGTTGGCAAAGGCAGATTCAGCGCCGGTACTGGGAAGTGATACCGTGGCACACAGGGATCGAGTACCATTTGGCATGCAGTTCCGGTTTCGAGCCGCTCTCCGCACGTTAACTTAGGAATGCAGATCCACGCCCACAAAAAAGGTTGGCTTTTGTCGGAGAAGCGGGCGTAAAGTCCGTGAGTTAATGAGAACTATTACCGATTTTAAGGGATTTGCAGACTCCAGACCTTAACCAACCTCCACTTTTGATGCTTTGACCCAAGAGAAACTCGGAAACATGCTGAGCTCAATTAAAAGTATCACAGTGAATTACGATGCAGTAAATGAAGAGAAGACCTTCTCCTCCGGGGACATGCTGTCCGGCCGCGTCCTGCTGGTGCTGTCGAAGGAGACCAAGATAGAGGGTCTTCGGGTGAAAATGAAAGGAAAGGCCGAGGTGCAGTGGAGCGAGAGACACGGAGATAAAACCCGATACTACAGCTCCAAAGAGAAGTACTTTAAGCTGGAGCAACTGGTCACTGGTCAGGAGAAGGGTAACGGTAATGGTGAGTACGTTGGTTGTTGTTGTCGTCCTTCTTTTAAAGTGTTATTATTACCAATATATATTATCGTAATTATGTACAGCACTTATAAATAGTGTAGTTTCGACATCAAAGGTCCTGCACCATTCAGTTTTTCTGCAGTGGGAGCCACTGTTGTCTGAGACTGACGGCATTGTAGGTTCGAGTCTCACTGAGTCTCTGTGTATGCCCGGAGTTTGCATGTTATGCACCCTGTACATGTTGCATGTTATTTATTTCATTTAGTTATCTATTCCATTAGTCCTGTTACTGTGTAGTTGGACGCAAGCTTATGGTGTTCATTTCTTTACCAAAAGTGTATCGCTGTTTGACAACAAAAAGCCCCCAACAGTCCATTTAAAATGGAAAGATTTCCCCGTGTTTCCTAATCACATCGTGCATAGTAACGCCAGTGGAGAAATACAGTATTTCCTCTACACTATTTGTGTAAGCGACCTATCGACCTAAGTCTACATGATATTCTCGCGTGCAATTCAGTCCTTGTAAATTATTTCTTCATGCTATTTAGTTTTTAAACTATGAGGGAATGTGTGAATATAATAATATCTGCTGTTATTCTCTCCAGTACATTAGCATTTATTTTATTTAGTTGACGCTTTTGTCCGGAAGCGACTTTCAAATGACGTACAAGCTGGTTATCTAGTGGGAATCGTTGTGCATGGTGGGGTTATCGAAATGTCTGTCTGATGATAATGACATTTCTGGCATAGGCGTGGGTGCTGCTGTCTTCCTAAAGAGGCAAAAAGAAAATACAACCGTGCAAGAAGGCACTTTCAATGTATTGTATGAAAACGAGTGCGTGTTCTTCTGTACGTGAAAGGAGGCCTGTTTTTTACAGAGCAGATGAAACTGGTTCTGACCCAGACTAAAAGGATATTTGCATCGATGTGGAAAAGTAAAACTGATGAAAAGTAGACATTTTAATTCAGCCATAACTGCTACTGAACCATTGGCCAGGGCGTGGCCGTACAATTAACGTTATTCATATTGTGGCCCCGGGCAGACAGAGGCATCATGACGGCGGCAGCACAGAAAGACAAGGAGGGGCGGAATTGCACGGAGTTGCTCTTTTAACACGAACAACAATTACGAGCACGCTGGGATATTCGTTTGCGGGAATCATTCTGAGGGAATTCGAGGAAATTGTTTTGAAGGAAAAATGATTGGTTCTGTCTTTGAACCAATCAGATTATAGAGGAGGTGTGCCCAAGCAACTAGAGGAAGTAGGACCAGCCACTCAGATGTCTATGTCCCACCTTCTCAATATGCTTGGACCCACCTCCTTTATAATCTGATTTGTTATCTCTCTCAACCATTTTTTTCCCTTCTGCCCTCAGAACAATTTCGTGTAAGCGGAAATTCAATCCCACCAGCTATACGATGTATTTAGTTTATGCTGAGCATTCCCTATAGCAGCTGAATCAGTTTCGCCAACCCTGCATGACTATATCAATCATTAATACTTTCCATTATAAGTATTTAATTAACTCTTTGGGTAAAGAAAGAACTTAAGGATATTCCTGATAATACCCGTCGTACATCCATCCATTACCCTCCGCTTGTCTGGGGTTTGCGTCGCAGGGTAGTATACCCAGACCCCCTACTCCCCAGCCACCTCTACCAGCTCTTCGGGGGGGGGGATGTCGAGGTGTACAATTTATTGAATTATAACCTTTACACGTATAATTAAAGTAATAGCATGAATATATTACGTTTTATGCATTGTAAGAATGAACATTTTCCATTTCATTTTCAGATGTCCTGGCTGCTGGGAGCCATGTTTTCCCGTTTACATTTCAGATTCCCCAAGGGTAAGAACCACACTGTGGATTTGGGGTTAATGATCAGATGCTTCTCTGTAAACATCTCAGCTTTCTTCCCTTGACAGGAACATGCCATCTTCCTTTAAAGGAGATCATGGAAAAGTGGAATACAAGCTGGAGGCAAAGCTGAGCAGGTCTTGGAGGTTACCGAGTAATACAGCATCCGCGTTCACCTTTGTTTCAAGGCCAGAGATGGGCGTGGCTCAGCTAATGGTGTGTAGTACTCACAATGTCCACTAGGTTATGCTGTACACCTGTGGCCTGTACTACGAAGCAGGGTTACTGGCTTATTATGGGAGGTATTTTCTGCAAAAAATAAAATTAAAATGAAAATGATAAAAAGAAAATACAATCTCCACTTTGCCATTTACTTCCCAAAGTCTGTGCGTAAAAATCCTGCACAAATTAAAATTAAAATGAAATAGCACTATTTGCATTTTAATTTTCCACTCATGTATGAGTCAGATGTGAAAAATAAAATTAAAAACCCTTTTTGTCTTTTCATTTTTCAATTTGGCTTTTCAGTTCCTACTTTGGCTTTTCATTTTCAAGTTCACTACATGCAAATATATGTTAATCGGAGCGGGGCGGTGGGCGGAGCTACTGATCACTGCTGCGCTTCTCAGTGCGTTTGCCGATTCCTTTCTCCTTGTGTTTCTCGCCCGTGTTGCCCAAACTAATGGCAAAGTCACACGCGGCTTAAGTTAGCTACTATAGCTACAGCTTCCGATTCATTTAGCTTCTTATTCGTAGCGTCTAATTTCGGGACTTAAGTTGGAAATACAAAATAACGTATGAATAAAAGGTTTGAGAACGTATATTTATTTCGTAGAAGAAAGTCTTCCTGTATTGAAAATGGTGGAATTACCTGGGCATAATGTGATCTTTCATTTGTAACAGTAAACTGGTCGCATGACACTTTGATAAATTGTTCACACTTATTTGAATAAGAAGCCATATTTCCAAATGGAATTCGGAGGTCTTATTCATCTTGGGTAAGGTAAACATGAAATGCATAGTAAACAGCAGGCATGCCACTCTAATGACAC